CTTCTAGCCAGTGCTCACAACATTTGATCCTTGTTCCAGCACAGGAGAAATCACTTCTCATCTACTTCAGTCACAGCCTAAGTCTCTTATGCCAAACTGAAGGAAAAAGGAGGTGTAGCGGGGGGAACCTGAGCTAAACATTTTTTTAAGGTGAAACTGGACAGAAAACAGAAAAAAAAGGATGAAAGGTCAGGTGGTAAGGGGACAGATATCAGAACACAACTGGAATGGAAGGAACAGAAACAGCTAGTTCAAAATATAGCCCTTGCCAGGGGTCTGCAGGGAAAGCCATAAGAAGAGGGCAAATCTGGAGTAAAATAATAAACAAGAACAATACCAAGGAAATGCAACAGAGACAGGTAGAATTCTAGCACAAAGCTCCAGACGAGGTGTGAAAGAGCTAGAGTATGGAACAGAGAGCAGCAAAAGATCAAAACTAAAGTGACCAAACTCACCACCTGGGAGAGATGTAAGAGACAAAAAGGAAAGAGATGCGGCAGCAAAACCCAGACAAAGATGAAAAGAACACAGGAGAGACATAAATGCACAGAAGGGGCTGGCTTCCTTCCCCTCTCTTTTTGAAAATAATCCCATTACATTCAAAACCCCAACAGAGGAGGCAGGTTGGAAGAGCGAAGCCACAGATATAAACGCAACTGAGGTGCGTGTGTGAAATGTACAGACATACTGTGTTGGGGAACAGCGAACATGTTGGAAGCCGCATTCCCCCAAACCCCTTGGAAATGGTACAGAATGGAATGCAAGAAGAACCAACGTGGTTTATTGAGCTAGAGAGGAGGTTTCCTTTTGGGGGAGTATTATACGTTGGACTAAATCAAGGCCCGCTGACAAGTAGCCTGTGGGCTGTTGTACTTTGGTCTCTTTTAGGGTTTAACGTGTATGTGCTGGGAGAGGTTTCACAGAAAGTCAACTCCATAAACTCTGGGGGTATGTCTATACTGCAGAGTTTTTTCAGAAAAACATCCAAAAACAGCCACGGCGTCTGTCCGTGCAAAGCTCATTGCAGATTTGGGGTCTAAAATCGTTTCTGGGGTTGAATTTCCTCTGCCGGCGGATTTCCGGTTTTCCCAGTCACTGGCAGTACAAATGGACTTTTCACATGTTTGCTGCAGCAAGAGTAGACGTTAATGTAATCGACAGACCCCAGGTACAATACAACTGAGCTCATAGGCTCTAATGAGATCATTTCCTTTTCCCCTGCCATAGTCACACCAGCCAATCTGCCCCAAACGTGGCTCCAAACTGACGCCTAAAGATAAACCTGAGAAATGTTCCTGGACTTCACTTTTTTTCCCTCCGTAGGCCGCCACTGAGCTACTCTCTGGCTGCTAGAGGGGGTGAGGGTAGTGCATAGTGCCACTGACCATTAGCGTTCCCTGTAACCTGTGCACTCGTGCAGCTGCTCAGGACAGATTCAAATGCCGCCCGGCTGATGAGCAGAGCGCCCACCGCGAGGTTTTTTCATCAATGGGTGGTGCACATTTGCACATGCCCCAGTGCACACAAAATTATTCCACACGTGGGTGGAAAAGATTAGAGGGAACATTGCTGAAACACTGTACTGTCTCTGCTGCAACAGTGTCCAGAGTTAACAACACAGCCCCCGTCACCAGTAAGGATGTAAAAGGTTAGTCTTAATGGGTGAGGCTTTCCGGTGCCGGTTAACCAGTAGGCACTACTGCCCACCCCAGGCAGGGAGCTGCTCCAGTCCCACAGAGCCCTCTGCAAACAGAAGCTGCTTTGGCCAGCCAGAGCAGGCCCTGTCTGTGCCCCTGCCCCTGCCTCATGTCATATGCTGGCTCCCTGGGGACAGGGTTGGCAGGGGCTGCTGGCCCCGGTCCCGGGGAGCCAGCTGCAGAGCCTGTAGCAAAGCGTCCCTGAGAGTGGGGCTGGCAGCCCTTGTGGAAGCGGCTTCTCTGAGGGCTCTGCAGCGCGTGCACCTGTGTAGCCACTAGGACGTGTAGCGGTTACACGGTTCCCTTTGCAAACGACTTTTTACATCCCTAGCCACCAGCAGAAGAGCCCCTTAAAATGGTTAAAACCAGAAATGAGGGAGGGGGAGAGGAGAACGACGCTGCCTGATTTGGGCTTGAACCTTAGTATCTGGACAGGGCTGCGACGGGGTGTACCAACCCTGCCATGGCTGGGCTGGGGAGGGTGGGGGTGAAGAGGCTTACTGGGGGGAGAAGGGCTCCCTCCGTGGCCCTGCTGGGCATATGCCAGCTGCAGCCCTAGTAGAAAGGCCAGAGAAGCTGGTTAGTCGGGGCTGGCCACCGGCGGGGAAGGAACTCCCGTCCTCATCCAGGCGCTGCTGCCAGAGGCGCAGGAGCCCGAGGGGCCACAGCCTGGGGAGCAGCAGCGGAAGGAGCCGCACCCAAAGGAGCAGCCCAAACCTGAGGGAGTAGCAGCCGGAGCCCGTGCAGCCCCCTGCGCAGCCGGACAGGGATAGGAAATAGGCCAAGGGCAGGGAGCCAGAAGGCGACCCAGGGAGCTTGGCGTATTTCGGAGGGATTCCCCGCTGAGCTGGTGGTTGGGGGAACACGCCCACCACCAATAGGGCCCTGAGTTAGGGCCCGGTGGAGAGGGTGGGCCTGGGCCTCCTTACCCCCACCCCAGTGACCGCAAGAAAGTAGGGTTGCCAGGCGGTTATCAAAAAATACAAAACACAATGCCCGCCCCCTCCCCCCCCAAAAAAAACACTGGGAAAAAATTCTGGTGAGCAAAAAAAATACGGGGGGTGGGGGGAGGGAAGACCAAAGTTTTTTTTTTTTTTTTTTTGGCTCAATAAAAGGTCACTGTGCTTTTAATTGTCCCTGCGCTCCTCACTCCCTCTCCCCCACCAGACGCAGCAAGGGGAAATTGTCCCCATCGGGCTTCCATCTGAAGGAAACAGGAAATACCAGACATTTCACATGTCCGGTATTTTCTGGGTTTTTTTTTTTTACTGGATGGGGGACCTGAATAATGGACAGTCCAGGCAAAAATCAGACACCTGGCAACCCTACAAGAAAGGGGCAGCACGAACTGCTATATAGACTAGGCCACTGGGCCTGACAGTGGGTGTGACTAGGCCGCAGAGTCCATCTGCCCTGAGAGAGGGTGTTATTGTCTGGACCAGAGGGCTGGACAGCCTCAGAGGCCAGAGCTGGACTGTGAACTAAGCCAGCGGGCACTACTGGCAAGAGCTCTGTTTTTGGGGCGTGACCGTCCTAGAAGAGATATGAGGCTGGATGACCCCATCACAAGGGCTTTAACTAATTGGGGCTCCTCTTTTTCCATCCTGTACGGGGCACTGCAGAACAAGCAGCAAAGGAAAAGAGGACGATGACATGGATAACCAAGAAGAATAAACAGCAGGACGGTTTCCTGCAAAAGCTTGTGTAACACAAACATCTAACCCAAAAGCAGGAGACGCGTCAGAAGGTGGAATGATTTATGAGCACCGCACAAAGGGAAAGTCCCTGAATGGTGTTCGGGGCCTTTCCATCTACCTTAGATGCAGCGAGTTCCGTGATTGGCCGCTCCATTCCTCCAAGGGGTGCTGATGAATTGTGCCAGATTCCATGTTTCTTTCCAACTGTTCTGAGTCTCCTGCATCTGATCTCAAAGAAGGGAGCAGAAACAGCTGGAAGAGAGAAACCAGAGTGGCATAGTCCAGCAGCAACCCTTGGAAGAACAAACAATAAAAGCCTTATGAGATGTCCCTTTGTTCCCCCCAATACGCGTATACGTGTGGGTACCATCATATTCCATTACCAATAAATCTACCTTGGGTTTGATTAGTGTCTAGGATCAATTCCTTGAAGCACTCTGATCACCCTACCAGCTTACTACACGGACTCGCATTTGAATGGCAAAACCACTGCCCAAATGAGCCACCCGTGCAAAACACAACGTACATTTGCATAGCCCTTAATACGGAAGCAGCACAAAATAGTCCAAAGCAGATTTCCCTTGAGGAAGGTTGGTAGATTCATGCCCACTGTATTTAAGTGGCAATCTAACACGCAAGACACATCTGTAGATTTAGTACACCAATGCGTGGCGCCCGCACATGGAGAAAATGGGGGACGCAGGAAGTAATGCTCTGACGGCTCGACTTAAGTGACCTTTGCCAAGGAAGAAGAATGGCCGGGAGAAGAGATGACCCATTGTATTTTGGACCAGTTCTGGCAGGGCTGGCCTTACCATGAGGCGAACTGAGGCGGCCGCCTCAGGTGCCAGACTGTGGGGGGGGGGGGCGCACCACTAGGACCCAAACAGGCTGGGGGGGGGGGGGCGCCACTAGGATCCAGAGTATAGAAAATTGTGTCTGCTGCTGGTGCATATGTAGGTAGCGGAGCAGGACCATGAGAGGAGTAGAACAGGACGAAGGCAGAATTGAGACCTTTCAAAGTTTTGGCCCAAGTGAGGTGCATGGGGGCGTCATTTGAGCTCCCCGCCTCAGGTGCCAAAATGTTGTGGGCCGGTCCTGAGTTCTGGGAAGGAGAGATGGGGCTTAGAAAGACCGCAATGGAGGCAATGATAGCAATCAAAAGGAAGAAGGTGAAGGCACAAGTGAGTGTCTGCTGAAATGCTGTAGAAATTATGCATTTGGGGGTTATAGTTAGGAGGGAAGAAGAGTAAGGTGAACAGACACAGAAGCCATTTTAGGCACCAGGGCTCAGAGATGACTACTTCACCTCGCGGTAGGCCTGACTGGGATCGAAGATAGCGGTGGAAGAAGTAGAACTAAGTCTTAGGTTGACCCTCTTAACAATGACAGTAGACGTCAAAAACCAGACGCACCTCCTCTGAGCAAAAGCAGAGCTCCGCGCCTAGACGCTCACATGTGCCCCTTTGTTCCACACACTCAGTTACTTCTAGCAAGAACAATTCCAATGTCCTCTCCCATCTCGTGGGGAACAGGAGGCTCTCCACTATAATTCAATGGTGCTTAGTCATAGGAGTGAACGTACGGGGAATCCCCAAACAAATACCTGAAGTATCACAAGCATGCCTGTTCCTGGGGGAGTCTTGTTGCAGGGCACGGTGTCTGTAGACCACATGTGGCTTACTGTGCTCTTCTTCCTCCTCTTGTTCATCGGGTGACAGCAGCGGCTCTACGAAATAGTCCCCATCGTGAGATCTGAACATGCCTAGCTGAGAGTCAAGAGAGAGACAAGTCGTCAGCTTCCAGGGAGACAATAATGAAATAGGTGTGGTGACATGAGACATGTGGGAGTTCTGGGGGCATTTACACATCCTAACAATGTTCAGTTTTGCAAGCCACCCAGCTGTGGACAGCGATGGGCCCAATTCTACCCCCCCCCCCCCCCC